GTCTTTTGATTCGTTCACGGTTACAAGAAATCACCACATAGAGTCTCTCAAGTCTCCGTAGATATAACAAACACAGAAATAAATAACACAAAATAAATTGTAGCTATGTGTCGATTCCGCGCGACACGTCCGAACATGTAAGCTGTACAATAGTGTGGGGAGAGTGAGTAATCAAGAGTTGCATGGCGCTCAAACAAAAGACCAATCGACGAGATTTGAAAATCGCGTAACTCCGGGTAGCGTAAGTCAAAGTATTACTGTATTGACATCAGGGTCATTTTTGGCCATGCACATGGTTATAAAATAAGTAAATAATATTTTAATAAATAAATGCTGATTATATTGGGTTGTTTGGAAAGTAATTTCATTTTTTTTTTTTTTCGTGACAAAGAAAACTACTTTCTTATAATATATAAATATTTTATTCAATTATATATTGACCATTTTGGTCCAATACCTTTTGCCATCTTTCTGGTAGTAGCATGATTCCACGCTCATAAAATTTCTTATCTTTGCTTACAGAAAACTGATCCAAGTGATTTTTGACATCCTCATTTGAAGTAAATGTTTTACTGTTTAAAAAATTTTGTAAAGATCGAAATAAATAATATTCTGAGGGTGCCAGATCTGGTGAATATGGTGAATGTGGTAGCACATTCCATCAAAGCTGTAACAGCTTCTGACAAGTTAGCAAACTTGTGTGAGATCTGACATTATCATGGTGAAACACTACACCTTTTCTGTATGATGATATCACTCAATTTGTCCAGTTGATGGCAGTAGTCTTCCAAATCAATTGTGGAATTGTCTGGCAGAAGCTAAAAAAAAAAAAAAAAAGAAAAAGAAAAAACAATTCCCTTAAAATTCCACCAAACAGAGAGCATCACTTTTTTTTTTTATGAATATCAGCTTTTGAAGTGCTTTGAGCCAGCTCATCTTTTCTACTCCATGATTGATTGCATTCGACATTGTTGTATACACTCCATTTCTCGTCACCAGTTATGATTTGCTTCAAAAATGGATCATTTTCTTGACATTTGAGAAGCAAATCACAGATGTTAATGCAATAGAGGAGCAAATCTCTTTTTTTAAGAACATGTATGGGTTCCAACCCATATATAGAACTTTGAAACAAAACCAAGTCATTTCAAGTGATCATAAACAGTTGAATTGGACAAATTTAATCTCTTAGCGATTACTTGTGTCGTTATTCAGCAGTTACTTCAATTAATGCCTTTATTTTGTCTTTATCAGCTTCAACTGGCCTTCCAGAACGTGGTGCATCTTCAATATCAAAATTGATAGAACAAAATTTTGCAAACCAGTTTTGGCACTGATGTTCTGTCAATATATCTTCTCCATACACATCACACAATTTTTTTCTCACTTGAACAGCATTCTTACCTTTTCGGTAATAAAAGAGAAAAATATGCCGAAAATGCTACTTTTGATCTTGCATGTTGATGGGACACAAAAAATAAACAATTGCACAAAATCAAACAAAATTTTCTACAAATAAGTCTTAAAATGCCAGCTATCAAAATATGTAATTATAATACGGTTTAGAATGAAAATAGCGGGTAAAAATACGACTAATCCCTCTAGTGGTAAAAAAAAAAAAAATTACTTTCCAAACAACCCAATAAATAAAATTTAAAATAATAAAGCCATGTAAACAAAAGCAGTGATGATGATAACTATTTAAACAACTACGAATAATAATAAAGTGGTGGTGTAGACTCTTTAACCAGAGCTCAAAAAACTGATATCTTACAATAAGTCATGGGAGCTTGCTGGAATATAGAATGAATGGAAAGTCAGTTTAATGTAAACATTTGTGTAAATTTTTCCATACTGTAAACTAATGTGTATTTACCAGATACTATACCAGAACTGTGGATAAAGATAAAAAACTGGACATTATTTGCAGCACAGTAACCACACTGCATTATTCAATTCTTTATTGTATAAACTTTAGTTCATTACAAGGAGGATAAGTATTATAAAAAACTAAAATTAGTAGAATTTAACAAATTAATTAAATAGCTTAGTACAGGATAACACAAAATAAAATACACAAAAATAATCATTTTTTGAAAATTGCAATAAATTAATGATATCTTTCCAGGATTTATCTTATCAAATACTTTTTCCTATTTGTTTCAAATTTGATACAGTGAAAGAACACATGTTCCCAAGTTTCATAAATTTGCAAACTACAATTGCTGCAAATTTTCTCAGGGTCTATTATTAGTCTACTGTTATACATCAAAATATAATTTTGACCCACCTCAGCTGTAAAATTAATCATTTTATATAATAATTTATATCCATAGACAAATAATCCTCACACATAATAAGTTGTTTTAAAAATATGATATACTGTAATTGAAAATTCTTGTTCTTTTCCAACAAAGACCAATCTTCTTGTATGCTTTGTTTGCAACACACTTTTATAATTAATGTTTGGTAACTTTCAATCAAATGAGGATCTTGAAACAATCACAGAAATGAGAAACCATGTCAATCTAACAGATTTTTCAATGCCAACATCCAGTTATACGTATAATTATCCATCATTAAACAGAATTTATAGTTTGTTATAAGCTACTTTAACATGACTGTTATCATGTAATTTCAGTAATCTAATCCAAAAAGAAACTATTGCTTTTATTATTAATACCAATATTCTAGAAACACCAAACTCCAATCACAACATGTAAGCTGGAATTTTATAGTATAACATAAAAATTCTTCAAAGGTAAAAGCAAGAATAATTTCCATTTTATTGCGATAAGTAATTGCCCATACAGGAGCAGCATAAAGTAGTACAGATGAAATCATTGAGTTAATAATTTTATATAAATATGAACAAAATTACAAAGGTATTTCAATAAGTAACACCTTTTATTTTTTTCAAACAAATGTTTTAATGTGTACATAAAAATGTGAATATAGTAAATGAAGTTTGAATTTCTGACAACACTATTACATGATAAGAACATTTGTGTTGCCTGTCGGACATTTCTGATAAATGGAAAAAAAAGAGCAGCAAAGTGTTGTTCGTTTTCTATGGGCCGGGGCAAGAAATGCGAGCAAATTCATGTGGAAATGCAGAAAGTGTACAATAATGATTGCGTGGACTATTCAATGTTCATGAATGATGTGAAATGTTTAAAAATGGTTGTCAGTGTGTGATTAATAAGCACAGGTCAGGTTGTCTGGTAAGTGATGCTTTGTCTCAAACAGTCACTGCTGTTGATCAAACAATTCAAAGCAATTGCTGCATTCGCTTGAAGATGCTGTCAGAACAATTGCTGTGCCATGTTTGGTCCTTTGAAGAAATTCCTGGCTAGAGAGAGGTTCCATTCCAACGAGGTTAAATCGGCTGTTTGTAGATGGTTGTATGGCCAGGAAACGGCATTCTATAATGCAGGCATCTTCAAGCAGGGCACTGATGGGACAAGTGCTTGAACCTGAATGGTTCCTATGTCAAGAAGTAGCCTAATCCACATATTTCATTTCATATATTCTGTATTTTCCATTTGCATTAACACTTTTGCTTAAAAAAAATAAAAGGTGTTACTTATTGAAACCCCCTCGTAATTTTGACTTTTGAAAGAATAAACCACATAGAATCCAGTGCCATTTTAGCCTTGTAAATAGTATAATTTTTAGCCTGTAAAAACTGTCCAGGAGACAAAAATAATACTTCCACATAATGTAATTCAAAACGAATTGTATGGGGTGATTATTAAAAGACCATCACTCTCTGGGTGATGGTCTTTTAATAAATTCTAATAATTCTAAAAAGTCTTTAATAATTCTAGAAAAATTCTGTTATGGCTATAAATAGTTAATCCATAGCCATAACAGAATTTTTCTAGAATTGTGATTTTCTTTTGTAACATTTGTGGAGTATCAGCAAGGATTACAGTGTCATCAGCATACATTAATATTGTATATGTAACTCAACTTGATCAGAGAGAGAGAAATCTCGGGTAGGTCAGATTTAGTGAGTCATACTATCAAACCATTAACATCTAAATTAAAAAGCAGTGGGCTCAGAATCTCACCCTGTACAACTTCAATGTCAATACCAAATAAATCAGTCATTTCAGCTAGAATCTTTATCTTTGCAGTGGCTTTGGAATATATGTCGACTAGCAGATGAGCCCGGTGTTGCTCAAGCAAAAAGTAACAATAGCAAAGATTATTATTATTAGATTATAGCCGATCTTATCCATTTTCACTGGTTGCAAGAATTAGATCCCCCTTTTGAAACTAATTATAAAACTTTTAG